TTGGATTTTTTCGAACTTCCAGCGCCCCCCCCCCCCGCCCCTGGAATGGTCAGGGCGGTGGCAGAACACTTCCAGAAAGGTCAAAATAACCCATTTCAAAATCAGTAATTTTTCAAGCTTGAAATAGGGCATTTTGAGCTTGAAATCTTCACATTTGGAATGTTTTTTATTCCCCTGTTTAAAACCATATGTAAAAAAAAGATTGCCTAAGGGATATAAAAATGAATTTGAGAAAAAAATACCAGTAATAACATGTGGAATTGTCTTTTTTAGATTTCTGTAGAAGACAATAACCATATAAGAAAGCAATGGGCAACTTAATTGCAATGTGTCATTTCTTTTACGTACTTTATTTTTTTATAAATAGTATGTCCAAGCTTTATTTAAAAGGTGCTAATTAAAATCATGTGATTGGCATCACACAGGTTTCATGGACAAATAAAATGATAGATCAGATGGACAGAGAGATGGCAGAAAGAAAGATACTGGGAAAATATGGCTCAGACTGAAGTACTTTCTAACAGGACCCTGCTGAATTGTAGGTATTCTGAAATAATCAGGCTTTTGATGAAAAGATACATGGAACTCAGGAACAACTTTCTAAATACAAGGGCCAGTTCAGATGTTGCAGCAAAAACTATTGAAAACACATCATGCGCTTACATACATTTTGTCTTGAGAGGACTCTTTCTCCTTCTGTTCCTTGGCTATCTATGGTTAATGTTAAGCTAAATTCAGAAACCCGCTTGAGCTATAGTATTTTAATCTGATTTGGAGAATCTTATTCAGAGATGCATGGGATTGTGCAGTAATCATAGATCACCAAATCTGACATTATGACATGTGAATCAAGATGCAGAGAAGATGATTAATGCAAATTAAGAATGAGCATGAAGCACGTGCCTTGATGAGCATTGGGTATGGCATTGAACTGTTCAGTTTATCTGAACCTATAAAAACAGTTTATATGTCAATAAATTGTTCACTTATTATACAGGTGTGAATCTAGATGTCCTTACTCAAAATGTATTTTTGCTTTAGTTGTAATACTGTTTTCTACCACTCTGACTGTAATTTAAAGTTGATTGTGTGGACAATAATCAATGCTGGTTAAGGAAATGTCCTGAGCAAGGTGTTATTCAGGAAATTTAGATAAATCACTAAAAGTGATGCTTTATAGCACTTACCTAAGTTGAAATCAAGAAGATTTACTTTTGATAGAAATGTATATAATGGCACTATAAGTCTATACTAAATAAATATGTACACAGATTTTTATTTGGTTGAATACAAATCCAATATATAATACATTGAATAATAGATGAAATAATTTTTACTAGCATTAACAAATGAGGCAGATTAGATATGATAGTAGACTGAAATTGTATAGCCTCAAGTCAAAGAGAATCTGCTCATTAATTTTTGTCATTCAACTAGCAAGTTTATATTTGGACTTCATCTTGATATACTAGCTGGATATATTGGCTAGTTACTTCTCTGCATTTTGCTTTGAAACTTCAATTCCTGCAGAGAAGCTGCAGCTACTCCTGTTGCAATGCTCAACATCCTGCCCAAAGCTGCATACCTCTACCAAAATTACACTAAATTCAGTTTCATTTCAGTAATTAAGATAGAACAAAGAATTAGATAAATTGTGAACTAAATTTTCATTCAGATGTGATAGTCAGCCAATCCAGAGTTGGAAGTAGCCATAGCTTCACATAAACAATGAGAAGCAGGAAGAATGACAACTTGCAAAAAGGATTAAATACTGAAATAAATATAAGGGAGAGCACTATTGATCCTCCTGTGTTCTAGTAATTTTATTACACATGTCCTTTTTTTCTAAAATTCTTAACCTCTTTCCCTTGCTTTCAAATCAATTTGTCTCCACTGCTGAAGAGTTGGAGAAGGGTTAACTTCTTCCAATTCTGATGTCAGATAGATCAGTAGATAGATCAACTAAAAAGTTCTGGAGCTCTATTTTGATTAGAGGCAAAGTAGCTTCATTCTCTGTGTCTGAGAGCTCTGATCCATCTTCTGAGGACTGAAATTTGAGTTTTAAATTATAAGAGAATTTATAATGCTTCTCCAATATTTTGAGGTGAAATCTACCTGTAAACTTAATTTTCCAAGACAAACATACTCATATTTCATCTTTTCAGCCCTAATTTATTCAGCTTACTGGACTTTGTAGAGAGTTTTATACATGCTACAGTATTACAAATGTTTGCCATCAGAACACCTATTCAGAAAATTTTTTATGGTAGGAATGATGACTTGCAAAATACCAATTTTAAGAAGGGCAGTGTAATGAAGCTAAAAGATAAGTAACTGGCCCAAGAATCATTGTGGCATAGTGATTGGGGTACTAGGACTAGAGATGGCCAGATTCATACCTAGTTATAGAGGTTCACTGATGACTTGAAAAATATTATCTCCCAATCCAACACATCGTACAAGTTTATTCCTAAAAAATTAATGGAAATACTATGTAGGCTGCCCTTGGGATCCTGAAGGAAAGATGGTCTATAAATCTAACAAAATAAGTTTCCAAATATAACAGAAAGACAGTCACTGAGCTTCAGAATACAAAACAGTTTTTTTTAACTCAATTTTTTCTCATTTTGTCTGGTGGTTCTCCGCTATCCCACAAATATAGTTACGGAAAATTTGGAGAAATTAAGAGTTTTTTTTTTTCCTTCCAAAAGATAATTGAACATTTTGAAGAACATGAGCTGAATCTTTTATTAAATATTTTGTCTTCTGTATTAAGTGAGATGATTTGTACGATAAGATTTTATTTAATATATGCTGGGAAGATGTTTGTGTAAGTCACTATACAATAACACAGAATGGTAGGTCATGTACAAAATGGACATTACCTGAACTCAATTTTATAACAATGTTGAAAATATTACTTAATATTTTATAATATTTAATATTATTAATATTAATAAATAAATAAAATTAATAAATATTAATATTTAATATTAATATTTTAATATACATACAAGCATCTAACAAGTCCTTGTTTTGACAATGGGACACTGTTCAGCAGCAAGCACAGCTGAAGGTGCTTCTTAAAACTGGTTGGTTTTGTTGTTGTCGCTACTTTTAAGATAGTATAATTATGATAACGTTCCTATGATAATGCAAACAAGTTCTGGGGCATTTGCTAATTAAGGCAGATATAAACCAAGTATATAAATAAACTAAACATGTGGTTAGTATCTGCCTAGTATGGGTACATTTGCAGTTTTGTTTATATGAAGTAATGCACTTATCCTGTTCAGTTTGGAACTCTCGTATATCTGCTCTTCCTTGCTATGTCCTCAACTTCCAGTCTCTTATTTTCCATAGTCCCCAGACTTTTAAAGAAACACACACACACACACACACACACACACACATTTTCTTTGCTCCCCCCCTTTTTTTAAATGCTACTTTAAAAGTGTACGTTAAAATATTAAAAATTAGAAATCCTTTACATTGTGCCAGGGGAGTTCACCAGTATTATGAAATACATGGATCATGTATTACTCTCCGTAGAATTGTTGAAAAGATATTGTGCTAATTGATTCTTTTCCTTATGCTCTGATGTCACTGCATATATGATGTTAATCTTCAGGCTTGAATTTGATTAGATCTTATTAAATAATTTTAAAAGATTTCATAGCATAAAAATGATGCACTTTGATTCGTTTTTTGATAGCAGTATGGATACTCTTTTTAGTTAGCATTTATATTAATTTATACCACAAGTATTTTAGTATTAAAACTTTTAATTAAAACTTGTGTTGTATTATATTTAGAATTATCTTTTCCTCCATTCCCCCACCCCTCTATCTTGCAGTGATGGGTCAAGAAGCTGGAAAACCCACATGGCCAAAACCAGCAGGAGGCTATCAAACTATTACAGGGAGAAGATATGGAAGAAGACATGCCTATGTCAGTTTTAGACCATCTCTGATGAATCAAGAAAGATACTCAAACCAACACAGTGAAGAATGTGAAGGATTAGAACTAGACAGTGTTCCAAAAGAAAACTTATTGTGTGTGTGTCACATAATTACAAATTATTTTTTTTCCTTTGGAGAAAGCTTTTTCTACTTTGGGCAAAACATTGCACAAAATGCTAGACAGTTGTGAACTTAACATAGTTTTGATACATTGTCTTGATCTTTTTTACTGCTACAGTATTCTGAACCTTATTAGAATAAGATATGGTCATTATGTTGTAATCCAAAGGTTATCCCTGGCCCCAGGTTTGCATTATTTATTTTTAAGTCAGGCTGACTTATATAAAGGTAGATGATAAAACTAGGTAATCATTTTTCATTTGTTACACATTCAAAGATCACATGGAATGTGAATATGTTTGGGGTATTCATAGTCTTGTTATTATCTACCCTACTTATAATTTCAAGTTCATTGTTATTTTCAGGTTTGCTTTAATTGGTATACCCAATAGTTTCCTGTTAATTTGCCTTTCAAAATCATTAACATTATATGATTGGTTCTCCCTATGTTGAATGCTGTTGTATGTATCAAATTTCTGTGTAAGGTTTTTGCTAAACCTGCTTGCATTTTAAATATTCAAAGAACTATTAGAGGGTTTTTTTTCAATCAAATCATTCCAAAATAATACCCCTCAGTTGTACTGCTGCATTTATACAGGCAATATTGTGTAAGATGCCAAATTGTATTTATTTAACACATTTACATAATATTACTTAACCAAAGTTGACTCACAACATATAGAACATGAATTACGATAAAAGGACCAAATGTAACATTAGACTAATCAGAAATGAATTGTAACATCAGTAACTAAATACCTCCAATTCTTATCTTAATTATTTTTTCTAAACCTGAAACATTAAAGAGGAAGTTTGGTGAAGGAAAAGAGGAAGCAAGTCTTAGAATCAAATAAAATCAGTCAATAAAACATCTATTGACTTCACAAATTCATATCACAAAACAGTGGCACTACCTGTGGCATGTTAATAATGAAATACTATATATTTGGGTGATTCTTTTTAATATTAATAATAAAAATACCCTATTCCTCATCTAAATAGCCTATAAGGAAATAACTTCCTTTAACTAGCCAGACAATTGGGTAAGATTTTCAGAATAAGGTTATTCTTAATGAAGGCAGCAAATCAATACTGTATAATGATTTGGAAGTATTATATAGCATGTTGCAACTAATCATATAGTTTCATTATTATTAAATACATAGTAGTCTGATTCAGCCATAGTCAAAATGCTGGTTTATTATGAACAGTCAAGCATTGTAGTGCATGCTGTTTTATTGCTAACATCTGGCTCTTTATGTCTGTGGTTGATAAAGAAGGGAATCTTTATCCTTAATTTGTTTAGTGCTGCATCTGATCCTAACAAGCTAGAAACAGAAGTCAACCTTTGTTCTAGAATTCTGATCTAGCTTGTTGAGTGAATAACAAGCTGGACATTCCTGTTTTTGTGTATCCCTAAACAAACAGCAGAGGGAAGCTCCCTGATTTACTTAGCAACTTCTGCTGGCAAAAAAAATCTAATGGGAATAGCGGAGCAGTATCTACCAGCATGTTTGATCGTTCACAACAAGCCAAAATTCTTCAGTCTTTTGAATTACCATTCTATCTGAATCATGCCAATGTATGGCACATTAGTAACTATATCAGTATGCTGTATTGAAAAAGAAAGTAGAATTGCAAATTGATTTTGTTCCACAAATGAGAAATATCTTACTCATTTTGGTACCTAGCATTTCTAACCACATTTTTAAATGGCTTATATAATTCAATTATGTTCTGGTAATTTATACTTGAGTCTATGCCACTTTGCTGTTTAATTAAAAAAAACAGCTGTAGATGGATTCAAGATAATTAAATACTGATTTTATCATGTCTGTTTTACTAAATAATCCAATAACTGGCCCTATCCTTCCAATGTATTTTTCTTTATAATTCTATATCAAGGTTCCAGTCCACGGGTCCAAGTATGTTCTCCACTGGCAGATGCATCATTATTACCAAATGTTGGATCAGAAGAACCTCTTTGTGAAGCTGAATCTAACCAAGCAATCAACACAGATACTTCTATATTTTCTCCAATGTGCTACAATTTGTGTGATAGCCAAACTCTTGTCAACAGTGAGAGTTCTAATGGCAGTGTGGAGTCTACTTCTGAAGAGCACAATAATCTTCATGGCCAGAATGGAATTGCCTTTGTAAACATTGACTCTTATGAACCAGACAGCAGTGATGGAGAGGAAGATGGTTATCAAAATGCTATTTCATTAGCTAAAGAAGAAACAGGACTATTTCAAGAAACACTGGACAATATGCTTTCCAAGTTAGAAAAAGATATGGACTCCTTCAGTGATCTGCAGTCACATCTGCCTAGTTTCAGTCATAACACCATAAGTAAAAGTTTTGAAGATCTTAGACTAGTGCCTTTTGGGAGACTTTCTAGCATAGAATCAGATACTGTTCATCAAAATAAGTCACTTTTGAAAACATCTAATGAAGAACCTTTAGCAAAAAATAACCTTGTTTCTACTTACGATTTGGAACAGCAAATTAGCAGTATAGCTGAACCTACAATTAGGACACATGTAGGAATTTGTAATGCACTGAGTGCTGCAAGCATGAAGGTGGACCAGGAGAATTCAGCTGAATTGGTAGTAAGACCCAAAGTTAGAAAACAGAATCCTATTAGCCAGATTGATAAAAAACAGTCTATAATGAATGAAGAAGAAGAAAAGAGAAATACTAAAATGTGGAATGAGAATGTGGATGTCCAGCAGTGCAGTGCTGAAGTTATCACAAAGCACAGTAAAGAAAAAAAATCTAATATTGTTTTTGACCCCAAAGAGTATGAATTGGCTCAAAAGAAAGTAAAAAATGAACCAAGGAAACAAAATACAACTCTTCAAGACAAAAGTAAAATAGATGATAGTGCTTTTTGGGATGAATTTGAAGACTGCAGTAGAAATCTGTCTAGTTCCAACAAAGATGAAGATGACAGGTAAGAATTTTTTACAGAGTTTAATTTTAAATCTTCCAGATATTTGAATAACTTCAGTTAATATGCATAGTAAAACTGACCAAAAAATTCCTAAATCCTCCATGTTGCAGTTTTATAATTCCTTTTCAGATGTCACTGCGATACTTAGTATTTCTTCTAATTGTGTGTTGTACTTACAGATGGGTGGATCAGGCACTGTGCATTTAAATAACACAATCCATTTAGTTTCAGCTAAATGGATTCTGCTAATTTTCTCTGTCAATAAATAAGCAAATAAATGTTTTGAGAAACTATACAAAAATGTGGTTTGCATTACTTTTGTTTTTATAAATAAGTTTCTTCTACTAAGAAGAGTATTTGGGTGATTTCTGTAACAAGAAGATGATCTCAAATCATCTTACTGGAATAGAAAAACGCTGCAATGTGCTCAGAAGAGTCCCACCAAACTCCCTATAATCCTGTGTCCCTCTCTAAGCCAATGTAACTAGTTTTTAAGATTACAGGTAGTCCTCACTTAATGACTGTTTAATGATGGTTCAAAGTTACAACGGCCTCAAAAAAAAGTGCTTTATGACCTGTACTTGCACTTACAACTGCCACAAACTGTCACATTACCCCCTGTGGTCACGTGATCATGATCTGCTACCTTTTTTATGACGGACATTAAGCGAATCACCACAGTAATTAAGGGAATCATTTGGTTGTTAAGCGAATTCTGGCAAAAAAAAATCCATTGGGGAAGCTGGATTCACTTAATGACCACATGATTCGCTTAATGACTATGTGATTAGCTTAATGACTGTTGTAAAAATGGTCTTAAAATTGGGTGCAGTCACATGGTGACTCGCTTAACGACTGCCCCACTTAACCAATTTTCCAGTCCCTATTGTGGTCGTTAAGCAAGGACTACTGTATAGTAAATCCATCAGTCTTTTGAAATGATTTTTGTTGGGGGATGGGATGAGGTAGGAAGACTCCTGTTATGTAAGAGTTCTGACAAAGATTTATGGATTCAGCATTAACAATTAACTAGCATAAATGTACTTAATTTTTCTTTCAGTGGTATTGTCTGAATATCCTAAGAGTATTTAACAATTTTATAACATTACTGACATCGGATAGAAAGTTGCTCATATGCAGTAATGTATCTGTCTTAAGTTAAAAAAATATAGAGCAATGAAGAAGTGAACAGTATCAGATATGATTAAACATGTAGGGGTTATCCAATCTCATACGATCACAGAGAGTTTTCCTCTTAATCCTTAGACCTTCAAAATTTATTCCAGAGGGTTGGGAAACCCTCCAGAGCAAGTTACAAGGTAAACAACTACCATCCCTTCATTTAATTAGTTATATGCTTCAAGTCATTCCATTGTTTTCTGTTCTTTTTAACTATGCAGATGCAGTTGATTTTTAATAGAACGACTGTAATGATGTCAGCACATTTTAGCTGCAGGTGGGAATAAAAACCAGATGGAAATATTTCATCAAATATTTCTTCTGTGCTGTTGGAACAACACAGTAAAATGCAATTTCAAAACGCTGATTTAGTTGTAATATATAGTTCCTTTGTCCGTTTTTAACAGAATAGTCATGAATATATTGCTGAAGATAAGTTACCATATCTGCCCATTGCCCCTTGGTCAGGAAGAAAGCTTAGCTTTCTTATAATCAGTTTTTAATACTAGGCTTAAATGAATATAAAGCCAATTAAGTTAAGGTTGCTCTATGTCTCTTTAAAATTCAGGTATTTGTAAGAAGAAAAATAAAGCAATATATGAATGTCCACAGAATTGTTTGTTTCATCATGTTCTCAACATGTCTTTTTTGTTAGAAATTTAAAAGATGTTTATTGCCAGTCCTATATTATTAAATATATATTTTCATGTCAGAAATGAGCATAAAATTTTATTTTTCCTTTGTATTATGCCAGTTCTAGTCTGATGCTGCTGAGGAATCTAAAGTCTAGTATCTGAGAGGGGACTTTTGATAAAAGAGATCCTAATTTTCTTGGCGCTCCTTTCTCAGAACATTCCCATCAGATTACAAAGCTTTTATTTTATTTCTTCAGTAGAATGTAAGATTAGGATTTCAGAAAAAGAGAAGCAGCAGCTTTCTGTATATTCTCTCCTGGGAGAATCTGTAAGGGATTTCTTTTTTGTAGTATGATTTTAATAGAAAATTATCTCCTGCTCCTATGGGCAGAGAGTCATCCAAACTTGAGCATCCAAACTTCAGATCCAAGGAGGGAAGTGAACATGTGCTTAGATCTTTCCCATTATATTTAATATGCTTAGCTTAGTTGAATCATGGCAAATATTAATATCAATATTTTAAGTGCAACTGGACTCTCTCAAATTGCAGCTCAGAATGCAGTGATGGTGAATGGTCCGCATCCCTGCCCTCTTATTTTTCTGCGACTGTGAAAGATCAGTCCTCCAGTGATGAGAGCTGGGAGACTCTTCCAGGCAAAGAGGAACAGGAACCTGAAGAGCAGAGTGATAGCAGTGGTGTGGAAGAGGAACATAATGAGTTTGGTTTCGAAGCACGGTATGTCATTCGAATAATGAAGTAATTTTTTTTAGAAAAATCCATGCTATACTGTATGCACTATATAGTTCATACACAATGTAGAACGTACATACACGCACACACACGTGTTCATATACTGCATTGTACATATACAATGTTGCTCAGAGCAAAGGAGAAATAGAGAGTGCTAAAGAAGAAAGTTGGGTGGAAATGGCTCATAAAAAGGAGAGGTGAAGAGTACAGGTTAAGGAATTAAGTGTGACGTTTTGGGGGGAGATTTACCTCTGTGTTAAAGTTTCTGAATGTTTTTCTGAGTATTTTTCTGACTTGAGCTACCTACTGATCTTCCTGTTCCTAGCAACCAGGGGTGGAATCAGAGAGCCCTTGAGAGGGAGGAGGGGCTAAAATTCAAGCTTAAAACACTCTAAAAAAAACCCCTAACATAACAAAAACTTAAAAAGAAATAGAAGAAATAGAATTTCCAAAATATATGTAAACAATTAAGCTAAACATATATTAAATCTAAGTAAATATATAACTTCTAAAATAGTTATGAAGGTAGACAGCCAGCATGGGTGTAGAACATATGTAGTATACTGCACTGAGTGTTTCATGTATGACTATCTGACTACTGGATAGAAATTATGGGTGGTAGGAGAGGCCGAGAGGCTAGTGGGTGGGGTCCTCAGGGACATGATAGCAGAGTCCAATTTGCAGGATAACGGCTCCTTGGCTGTTACAGAGAATGAGGGTACAGGGGAAGGATATAGAGAGTAAGGAAGCTGGCTTTGACAGAGATGTACAGGTTCTGTTACCAAAGCAATGAGGGGGAAAACATATCTTAAATCCACAAGGACACCTCCCTAATTCACAGGAGTATAAGAAGGGGAAGGAGGTATAGCACAATCAGACTTGCAAGATTTTGTTATTATAGCTACTTTCCATAAAAGTAAATCTAGCCTTCCTTTGGAGTTGATTTCCTAGTGTGGTCAACCTGGTGGGGCTGACAAAGGAGAATGTTAGTCTGAGGAAGAGGGAAGTTCTCCCTTAGAAGGGGCCCATTCCTTAGGGGCTGAACAAGTTTCCTCTCGCACTGAGGATTCTCTTCCTGTGGGAGAGGGCTTCTGGTGGTAGGCTATTTGATCATTGGGAATATAGATAGCAGGATGTCAGGTGGGCATGCTGTCCACTTGGTGACTTGCCTGCCTGGTACAAAGGTTGCAGAAGTCACAATGACATCTAGATAGGCTTCTAGACAGTGCTGGGGAGGAGGCAGCTGTCATGGTGCATGTGGGCACCAATAACGTCTTTAAATATGGTCAGGAGGTTCTGGAAGCCAAATTCAGATTGCTCATCAGGAAACTGAAAGCAGGACTTCCAGAATAGCTTTCTCTGAAACGCTCTTTCCACACACAGGACCAAGTAGGCTGAGTTGAAATATCTCAATGTATGGATGAGACATTGGTACCAACAGGAAGGCCTCCTATTTATTAGGCATTGGAGAGTATTTTGGGAAAAGCTGGACCTGTACAGGAGGGACAGACTCCACTTGAACCAAAATGGGACCAAACTGTTGACACTTAAAATTATAATTATGGCAGAGTAGCTGTTAAACTGAATGCAGGGGAAAACCTGACAGGAGCTGAGGAGTGTCCGGTTTGGAAACAGTCATTGCTTAGGAAAGGAATTAAAAATTATGTCTCTTCTAAAGGGGAGGTGATAGAAATAGGAAAGGATAATGTCAGGTGTGATTATTAAACAAGGTCAGATTAAACAAGGGAATATGGCACAAACCACATCATTTAGAAAGTGAAGCTGAACAAATTCTTTGCCTCCGTCTTCACAGAAAAATTGGGCCAGATCCCTGAACCCAAACTTCTGTTCTCAGGAAAGGAATCAGATGAACTGAGCCATATAGTGGTAATAACAGAAGAAGTGCTAGGCCTTACTGACAAATTGAACATCAACAAATGACATGCCTTAATGGCATTCACCCAAGAATGATTAAGGAGTTTAAAGCTGAAATTATAGACCTCCTAACTAAAATGTGCAACCTGTCTTTACACTTGGCCTCAGTAGTGGAGGACTGGAAGATGGCTAATGTAACTCTAATTTTAAGAAAGGCTCGCAGGGAGATCCAGAAAATTATAGGCCTGTCAGCTTAACATCTGTTCTGGGGAAGATAGTAGAAACTGCTATAGATAAAATTACCAAACTTTTGGAGAGACAGGTCTTGTTCAAGAATACCCAACATGGCTTTGCTAAGGGAAAGTTCTGTCTAATTAATTGATCAGAGTTTTTTGAGGGTGTTAATAAGCATGTGGAAGGGTGAGCCAACATTGTCTACTTAGATATTCAAAAACCTTAGATAGAGTCCCTCATCAAAGACTTCTCATTAAGCTTAAAAGCCATGGAATAAAAGGGCAAATCCTCTTTTGGATAAGTAACTGGCTAAAGAATAAAAAACAAAGAGTAGGAGTGAATGGACATTTCTCGCAATGGAGGAATGTAACTAGTGGGGTCCCCAGGGTTCTGCCTTAGGACTGGTTCTTTTTAACATATTTATAAATGATCTGGAATCAGGTGTGACTAGTAGAATAGTTAAATTTGCTGATAATGCTAAATTATTCAGTGTGGTAAAAGCAGTAAGGGACTGCAAAGAGCTCCAAAGGGATCTCTGCACATTAGGGAATTGGGCATCAAAATGGTACATGTCATTAATGTGAGCAAGTATAAAGTGATGCACATTGGTGACAGAATCATACAAATAATGGGATCAGAGCTAGCAGTGACTGATGAGGAAAAAGATCTTGGACTAATGGTAAATAGTTCAGTGAAGGTGTTAACACCATGTGCATTCACTGTAAAAAAAGGGCAACAGCATGTTAGGGATAAGAAATGGTACTGAAGATAGTATGCCAATATCATAATGCCGTTATATAAATCAACGGTGTGACTGGAATAAAGTTCTGGTCACCATAACTCTAAAACAATATAGTGGAGCTAGAGAAGGTTCAGAGGAGAACAACTAAAATGATCAAGGAGCAGCTTCCCTATGTGGAAAGGTTGCAACATTTGAGGCATTTTAATTTAGAAAGTATGCGAGTGAGAGGGGACATGATTGAGGTGTTCAGAATTATACATGGTGTGGATAAAGTGGACAAGGAGAAGCTATTTTCCATTTCCCAGAATGCTGTTATTTAATAAGGAATGCTTCTAGTAATGAGACATGTATGGGTTGTGTGCAACTACAAGACACAAATCCAGCTTTGGGATCATTCTCTTCAGGTAAGAAAATACATAGTTTAACTCTGCAACTTATCACTAGGCTCTCCAGTACATGAAATGAGACTGGTTTACGAAATGGCAGTTGTAACTTAAGGAATAGTTTACAAGGGAGTCACCACTACACCAAGATTTAGGCTTGCATAAAATAAGTTTTTTACAATATATTATGCTCTTGTTTTGTGCCTCAGTAATTAACAAGTAGAAGTTCTATAGTATATATACTACTATCTGTGTGCTCCTGCTCTCTGATACTGTAGTATTTTATGTTTTGTTTTGCTATTTGGATTGTTGTCATAAATGCCAAAATAATAGCAAGCAGCTCAGTATTTTTAAAGCATTTAAGCACTTTAGAAAATAAAAAAGGAGAAACCCACACTCTCTTTTTTGGGAAAAACAAAGGGAATTCAAATTATTCCACATGCATTCTGGAATATCACAGTCTTACTACAGGTAGATCTCACTTAGCGACTGTCTCAGAGTCTACTATAAATAGACTATGATTGGGCTTTTTGACTAGCATATTCCTATATTTGTTATCTAGTTGCAGGTGAGCTGATGAGATTAGGACAGTAAGGGCTGTTTGCAATAAGGGCAGTTAGACTGCTGGTAACTAACGGTGGTATATTTAATGATATGTAGGAGTCAGTTTACTCCTAATTTAACATGGTGTCACTAAAGTCAATGACTTAATGATTTAAATTTGTTTGTTCTTAAAGGGAAAGAAATCTTAATGATGATGGAAATAGGAGTGTAAATATGGAGATTTCTTCATGGGAGCACAGATAATAAGCATGTATATTATATTAACTTTTTAGGGGAAATTGCATTGCAATCAGCTAGTCTTTGCCTATTTAGTTTTGACTGTATGCTTCCTACCAGAGAAATAAAAAGTTTTAGTCCAAAAGACCAAAATGCTAAATTCTAGAAGGAGTTGAAAAATTATAAATACTGATCTTACTTTTAATGTTACTATCTTGCTGAAAAAATATTTGGCCATGGTGCAAAGGTCAAGCCATATTTAGAACAATATTACAGATTATGTAATTTCATCAGATGTTGTATTACATGTTCAGATACAAAAATAGGGAAAGATCTACAGATTTATCAAAATGAAATCTGCAAATTGCTTAAAGCTTCTTAGTTTCCCCTCCCATTCTGCTGAATGTTTCAATATCTGCAGTAGCAAATAGCAAAACATTTATATTAAATATTTTATTAAAATTTTATTTTCAGGTCAAATTCAACTTTGACCAGATACTTAAGAACAGTTAGCATTATTGTTTGATAAATGTATTTATTGCATCTTTCAGGAGTCTCTCAAATAGTTTACAATTAATATAAACAAATGAAAATAAAAAATGCAATAATAAATATTTCTAAGCAGTTATAAAATTCTAGGATCATTTTAGCAGGGCAGTTGGAGGTAATGGGCTTCTAGGGAGGAGTGTGCAGGCTTCTGTAACTTGTTGCTTGGATTCTCGACATATTATTAAGAATGTTATCTATTTGTGCACATTCTATTCTTGATGAAAACAGTAAACTTCTAAATTAAACTACATTTTAATTTAATTCAGTTAACTCCAGTTGGACTTTTTTCCTTACTTGTCTGAATGGCAGCTGACATTATACCACATTAACAATATCAGATGATTTACAAGTTTTGTGTATGTGAAAATAGAAAGGAAATAGTTTAAAGTGCATAAGTTATTTAAAAACTGTCAGTGCCATGCCTTCAAAATACATACCTCTTGTCTAAGTCATCTGCAAGAATCACAATTTGTTAGTAATGTTACATGAAAGAATATCATTAAAATACAAAATTACATTTATATGATCTTACTTATATACATTGTTATACTGTTCAAGCAGTAAAAATGGCCAGTTGAAAATAAGTAGTGAGCTATTAAGTAATTAATTCTAAAATACTGAACTTTTTTTGAAAAATGAACAAAAATACAGTTAAGTTAATTTTGCCCTCCTACACAGTAAAGTAGTTTAAAAGGAAATTGTTTCACTTGCATTTTAATGATACTCTTTCATGTAACATGACTCAGTATAACAAATTGTGATTCTTGCAGATAACTTAGGTAAGAGTTATTATTTTGAAGGTATTCTGTTCTAGAATTTTGCCTTGATTAACACTAAGTTTATAGTTTCTTAAACCTACCTTAACCCAAGGATAGGGCTAAAACTTACTCATCTCCAGTGTTCTGATTCCTCCTCTGTTCTCTAAAAGGATAATGCAATACAAAGAATAATACAGCTGCTCCTAAGCACCTTTAGGATTCATCTAATTCTGAAGACCTAAATTCATTTGCCACACAAATATTTAGCTTTGGATCATTTTTCCTAATAAATGAACAAACAAGTACAATATTTTTGACTCATTTGTTTAATTGGGTTCTCTTTATCTAGTTTTAGGACTTGTGTGAAAAACAGATCACATTTTAGATCATATTTATGCAGAAATATTAAAAATTCAAAAGGGTTCACAAACTTTTAAGCACTACTGTAGCTAGCAAAAAGTGTCCTCATTTTCCCTTGCAAAATAGAAAATGAGAAGTTCAGCCTTCTTTTGATCACAAATTAATGTTTCATATCTTTCCCAAGCAGCAGACCTACGTATTCCTTTTTATTCTGGATACTAATAAAGAACCTTTCCTTTGGTTTTGCTCTGTTTTTAAAATTTCTTTCAGGCTTCAGCTCATTCTTTGTTTGAGCCTTCCTGATACTGTATATAAAGGTTCAGGTTATTGTGTCATACTCAGTCCTTGGTTTTACGGGCATTAGGTCCTGGATGTTAGAGGAGTCCAATATATATCTGTTTGTACTGTGTGTTTGTTACATGGTGACTTGGTTTCTTTTTCGTATTAGACTATGTTTAACTAGATAAATAGATAGATACTTCATTACAGTCATAGATCAGCTCAAAAACAAATAGAAAACATTAAGTGTGAGGCAGCAAGTAACAATCACAATAACATCCAATAAATATAAAATTAGTGTGATATATTTTAATACAAAACTTAACCATGTTAAGTGAAATAAATAAAATGACATTGATTGGACAGTAGCAACTGTAAATGAAATGAATCCAGGCAGCCTGGAAATCTGTCTAGATGGGGTGGTATTAGCTGCAACTGGGCATCTTTGTAATGGGAGCAGTGTAAAAGTACATGGGTTAGGGTTTCAGGAACTCCTTTGCCACAGAGGCAGCATCTTTGTTTACACTGGTCTCTCTTCAGATCATATAAATATTTTGCCTATTTTTATATCTTTCTTTTATTAGAGGGGTTTTTGGTCGGTTGGTCAGTTTTTGTGAACTGGCTGTTAGGAATTACGTATCTAAGATAGGCAGCCGTAGAAATAAAATGTATTTCTTTCTTTATTCCCACTGGAATAAAATTATTGTCTTGCATTCTCTTTATAGCATAGTGAAAACAATATTTGGTTATAAAAAAAAACCATAATAAACATTTGGGGTTATTGCTGTGCTACAGCACTTGGGAACCCAGAAATAAATTTCCCAAGGTGAATGTTATGAATGGGTTTGAATGATAAAAATAATAGGATGGCACACTTGTACAGTTCTGTTAGAATTTTAGCACAGATCACTAAGGCAGTTGATGCTGATGTTGTATCTTAAGGTAAAAATATATAAATGTCACATATAAAAATAATTCCATAAAAGCATTGCATTTTAGCTGTGCCGTTGAATTGTGCTGTTTATTATTATTTAAAGTTATGCTGTCTGTTGAAAATGGGTTGCAGATATTTGACTATTAGCACTCAGTATAGATAAAGGATACTTTACTATTTGCTTACATGTAGTTTTAATTTCATTTTGTATAGCTTTTCTCATTTTTATATAAAGGGAACAGACCTCTCTAGAGGATGGAGAGATTCCTTGGTTGCAATATCATGAAGAAATTGAAAGTAGCAGTGATGAAGAAAATGATCAAGCTAGCCATTTTGTACATCCTGGGTTTTTTATGTTGGATGGGAACAACAACCTAGAAGATGATTCCAGTATGAGTGAAGACCTAGATGTGGAATGGAGGTGGGTAGACTCTTTTGCTATCTTCAGTGCTTTATCCTAGGTAAATGATGATTTGGGAGCACATATGTTTCATATTTTATTTAAAACAGAATTGCAAAATAAAAAAAATATTATTTTGATATGTCCGTATGTCATTCCAATCTCAAGAACTGATCTCATATGTCATCTCTTATCTCACATGGGGTAAATGGGGTTTTCTGGCAAGGCTGTGTTCAGTTTGTCACACAGATCACCAGTGTCCTGTAATTCTAGAAGTAGCCTCAAGAAACAGCTAATCTGTTATTGTTTATGTTCCATTTATTTTTATATCTGAGTATGAAATAGCACAAATTTTATTTTTTTCACATTGTATAAATTAATAATGAAAACTTTTAATCTCCCTTTCTCTAGCAAAAGTTGGCATTTGTTGATATATAAAACACAAATGTTGGCTATTTAGGATAACTGAGAATTCAACTGTGTAGTTCATGATGTGCAGGCAAACCCAGAAGCAAGTCTTTTTGTCTTTATATCAAACAAAATATTAAGAATGAAACAAAATACTGTGAATATTTCTGTTCTTTATATAAGGCAGGACCTCCCACACTCATATCTGATTATCATCCTATTGATTGAAACACCTGACTCTAATTTTCCCTTCAAATGAACTGATAATCCTAGAGGTTCACATACTTTTGCCACACACAGAAATGTGGCTTTGGATCATTTTCCTCAATAAATAAATGTTTCTGACTCATCTGTTTAATAGGGTTCTCTTTATCTAGTTTTAAGACTTGTGTGGAGAAAGATCACTTTTTAGATCATATTTATGCAGAAATATTGAAAATTCAAAAGGCTTCACAAACTTTTAAGCACCACTGTACATGTTTCGGTCCACACTTAAAGGTAAAAAATAATGTTATATTTTCCTATAGGCTGCTTGATGAATTTGGGGATGGTCTTGGTGTTGCTCAAGCAATTTCATATGTGGATCCCCAGTTCCTTACTTATATGGCCTTGGAAGAACGATTGGCACAGGCCATGGAGGTAATGCAATAATTTTAAGTTATTGTTTTAAGATTAGATAAGGTGAGAAAAAACATTGGTTAAGTCTGTTTATCGTTAACTTCCACTACGGTTTTAGATTTGTTTAATGTATGTAATGTAGTGTAACTAATACTGGGGTAATGTATCTTTTTTATATAAAGTCTGTACCACAATTACCATAAAAAAGGTAATGTTGTAGTAGTGATGGTATTTGCATTTCATCCTTAAAATTCAGTTACCACATACCGGTCACCATGCTGCGTACTGCTGAAATACTTACCATGTACAAAGGGTACCGGTCAATGTCATGATAATGTTGCCATACTCTTTTTAGCCTTCTTGCGTAGCCTGCTAGATGGCACATATAGCAGTACCCCTGCTAGGAATAACCCCTATTAGGAGGACAGCTACTGACACATGTATCTACAGGCTCCAGGAATTTATAAAATGGGATCAAATATAACTAAGATTAGAATCCATGGCCAGTTGGCTAGACAAGCCATTCCAGTTGCTGTGGGTGAATGCTATAACCCATAGTTAACAGCAGACTGTTATTGCAGTCTAATTCTATCCAATATTCTACTGCCTTCCTCCACCTGATTTCAGAGATGCCTTTTGTGGCGGGGAGAGCATGGCTTCATGATCATGGTAGGAAGTGATGGGCAGGAATATTCAGGCTTGCATCAGAATGCCAGTGTGGTGTAGTGATTAAGGTGCTGGCCTAGAAACCAGGAGACTCTGTATTCTAGGCCTCCCTTTATGCATAAAAGCCAGCTGGGTGACTTTGGGCTAATATCTCTCTCTCATCCCAACCCACCTCACAGGGTTGTTGTGGGGAAGTAGGAGGCAGGAGTATTAAGTATGTTCGCTGCCTTGAGAGAGAGAAAAGAAAAATAAAAGGCAGGTTAAAAATATAATAATAATAACAATAATGATGCACCTGATAGCTTGTTCTATGAGCCAAGAACATAGGTGTTCCAAAAATTGAAGAAAAAAAATTGTGCTCACATCATTTGATGTGGAGTGAGGGTCTCAACTTTGTGAATTTGTAAATGTGCTCCAAATTCTTGTGATCTGGGTGTACCTGTACTGGGTGGATTGCACCCTCCAAGAATGTCTCCTTTGCTAAAAACCACTTCTGCAGCCAGCAGCTCTTTATTGAAAATATAATCACTCCATTCAATTGGAAGAAGACATCTGGAATAAAATTAACAGGGCAAGTAATCCAAATAGTCCTGTTGGGGAAACACAGATTTTTCCAACTTAACAAAAAGGTTGTGTTTGAAGAGTTGCTCTAAAACATTTCTGAAATGAGTCTCATGCAAAGATGGGTCTTCTGGAAAAATAAATAAATAAATCAGGATGTTATCCAGGTGCGCCACCACTTATTGGTGCAAAATATTGGAAAATGCTTTGTTCATGAACCTGAAGAAGACTGCTGGACAATGAACCAATTCATACTATGTATTCAAATTTGCTGCACTTAATGTCAAAAGTTGTTAAAATTCACAGTCCAGATTCGTTCTGATCAAATTGTAAGCGCTCATAAACCCAATTAGGTGACTGAAGACAGTCCACCAAATCTGAAATAAGAGGCAGTGGGTTTTGATCAGTAATGGTTACAGATTTAAGAAGCCTGTAATTTTATTTACTTGTTTGTTGATTCGATTTTGATGTTGCCAGACTCCAATCGACTGTGGGCAGCTGATCAAATAAAATACAAAAACAAAATACAATAAAATGGACCAGAAAAATTGCAGAATTATTACAAGATGGCACCCCAGACAACACATCAAAATATAAAACATCCCAAACATAATCATGTACAACTGTCAAGGAATTATTTTTCCTTGGTGCAAAAAATGGAGGTGCAGATGCTAGAGATGTAGAAGGACAAATGAAAATTTTCTTCAAATTGTCATCCAGAAATTCATCTAAACAGCTAACTCCTGAATAGATATGGGATATTGCCTTTTGGCTGTGATGTGGGCTGAGGGCTTCAGGTTGATGGTACAAGTTAATGAGGAGGCAAATTAACTGTTTCCTCTTTCCCCGGAGCATCAGCAAAATCAGTATACTTCTTTGTCAGGGAAGGAGATTCTGGTAGCATTGCAGGAGAGAGAGAGGGAAGAGTGGGATGTTTACAAATGGTGGGACTGACATTTTTGAGATGTCTTCCTTTGCTCCCAGTGGACATCTGGATTACGAATTTACAGCCAGTCTGTGCCCAATATGTGGAAACATGTAAGGAAGCTATGAATATAGTGGCATGAATTCTGCATGATCATTTATTTTCAGTTGCAGAGGAGTTGTACTTGGTAAAAGAGGACCAGCTCAAAGTGATTGCCTATCAATTGTTTCAATTAGCATAAGATTCTCTAATAACTGGATGGGTAATTTAAGCTGACGCACTGTAGTCTCATCTATGAAATTAGCAGTTGTGCCAGAATCTAAAAGGGAGCTGTATTCTATGCCTAAGGGTGTGTGAAAAGTAACAGGGATATTAAAATGCACTTGCCTGTTATTAGCTGTTTGAGCTGATCTTAATTGACCAGGAGCCCTCCTGCAGAACTCTTGGGAGGAGAGCCTACAAAGTTTCCCAAAGACAAGGTTCTGGAGCAATTTGGGTATTTACTTGTGAGGTGATCTGCAGTTCCAACACAGGAATGAACTTCAGCAGGGCAAGCCCGTAAAAGCATAAATCGGGGTCTCTGGTTTCCTGCTGCAAACAGAAACCTATGTGCGTGGGTTCTGTGCTATTTGCATGTTGTACACAGTGCTGGAATCTGAAGGGGCTGGAGAGTGGAGAGTGGGGAAGAGAGACAGGCTATAAAACTACCACTTACGCTTCCTTTGTGCTTCAGCTCCTCCAGTCGCCTATTGATTAACACGCAGTGGTGAAATAGTTCTTCCAAATTTTGTGGTGTGCGTTGTGGTGTGCCTTCATCCTTAGTTCATCAGAAACTGAAGTCCTTCCCAAAACTGATCAGTCAGAGCAAGATCATTCCTCTGGCATACAAGTGGATGGCATACATCTCTGGCATATGTGCTCCAAACTCTGTTATTTCGTGCTTCAGCTTGTGAAGCTCCTGTTTTGCTGTTGCTCTTTTGGCTGAGTATTCAAAAGCAACTCTAAATCTTTGCATTAAATTCTGGTAATTATCTGGCCGCCTCTTCTTTCAGCAAACTAAGAACAAAGGCAACCTTGGTCCAATCTGTAGGAAATTCTGCTGAGTGGCCTGCCACAAACAATTCACACAATACCATGAAAGTTAGGAATTGATCTTGAGCTTCATAAAATGTCTCTAGTAAACTTCCAGAAGAATAGCACAGTACTAGTTTAGCAGCAACTTGTGGGGCAGTCCAGGCTGAGATAAGCCTTGACTCAAGTGCTGTGTTAGCTGTAACATTGTGCAGGCACATTATTTTATGTATTGAGGATCACTTTTAAAAAGAGTGTTTCTTTATCCATTCCCCTTCATATTTGAAAATACTCATTTCACAGATTACATGCTACAGTTCAAAACAAACTACCACCTTTCTTTGAAATCTGAACAAGGATAAGATCCTGTCACCCTATGTTGAGATTGATGTGGAAAGGATTTCCCTTGTTACACTGCATCTTGGAGGCATTCAGCAGTGTGTGAAACTAAGTATCAGCAGTTTGAGTGGGACAGACAAGGTTATTGGACTTGTGGAAGTTGATAGCAGTGTGGCTCGTCCTTTGATCCACTTCTGACCAAAGCGTGAACAGAGTGCTTAGCATCAGCATATGACAATTATTATTCTCATAACAATACAACCGTTTCTTATTTCTTTATTTAATTTTGTATTTCAATATTATTTGGAGAGATCAGCTTAAAGACAATAAAGTTACTAAGTAATGTGGTTTCTGAAGATTGTTTTTAGAATAACATTGATCACCAGTAATTTAGATTATAGATCAAAATTTGTCATTGAATACTTAGCAAATAAAAGGTTATTTTGTAATATTTCCAGTAGTTCTTTGTTTTGTTTTACTGATTCAGTGGACAAACAGTTCACTGAGCAATTCTGAAAACTCTAAGTTCAAATCTGTTTTATTTAGGCTAAAAAAGCTTCACTTATTTTAACAATTGTAAACATGGTAGTGCCTTATTCTTTCCATTGTAAAATAGAATAATGCATATACTATCCTATCACAAGATCTTGAATGGTATAAGAACTAATTAACTTGTAACCTTTCTCCATGCTAGCTGTATTTTTCACAATAAATATTTTTATTTTAAGGCAACTTATGTTGACATTTTAATGCTTTTCCCAATTGCAGTTTCAGAATCTGGACATACAGGTAAATAGACTGTTGTCACACCTGTGTCTTCTGAAAATCATATCTGTGCTTAAATACATAGATTCCAAATATGGACATTTTTATAAATTGTTGAAAAAATGGGCAGAATATAAATGAAAGCATTTCAACTGAATTATTGGGAGCATTGGCATTATGTTTGTTTTGTATTGCTTAAAGACAGTTTAAATTGAATTTTGAAGATTTTTTTACTCATCTAAATATATAAAAAATAAAGCAATCTATTTATCATCTTGAAGTCCTGTGGTGCTCCTGAGGGAAGCTCCTGCATTGATGGCATTACTAGTGTGCCATTAGTGACATTAAGAGCTGGCAGGAATGCTCCTGACTGTGCCCTACCAAAATAACATAGCAAAACTAAACTGAGAGCCAAACCCGTATACTGGGAACACCTATTGCTGTTATTTTAACTCTACCACCCATGTCTCCAGTGTTCATTCTAAGAGCTTACAAAGCCAGAGTAGTTACAACTTCAAACAAACAGATGCCATTTCTGGTCAGTTTTATTGTCAACACACTTCCTCATTACCATTGCAAACACGTTCATAGCAGCAGCAATCTGCTGGCAATATTGATAAGCTCTGACGCTTGTCATGTTCTGGCATGGGACTTGGCAGTTCGTTCAAAATCATGCAAATTCACTTATCTGGGCTTTTTTAAATACAGTGATTTGAAAACAGTGACAACTTTTTCACTTCTAAATAAAAAAATGTAACTTGAAGCATACAGAAAACGTAGTGTTCTAAACCCTTAAGTAAATACATATAAATGATTTTGCTATTTTAATAGATTTTATAGTTTCATGAATGCTATCCATTTTTTCCAAGTACAGTTGAATAAATTATACATTTTAATTTATGTGCCAGTGTATAATGCAGAATAAATGCTTAATATTCCCAGCTAGACAGTAAAAAATATTTAAGGACCATCCGAGTGTTATCCCAGCACAGTATTTCAGTTGTTTTAAAGTAGGCCATCATGTTAGTAAATGGATTATCCGTTTCAGTTAAATTTAAAACAAGCCATTCCATTTAGTCTGTTGCCAAAGACTCCTGTTTCTCACATTAAAATGGACCTCTGTTTCTTATCAGACTACAGTTCTTTTATACAGAGAGAACAATTGCTAATGGTAACAATTTTTTAGAAGGTTTTGAGCTTCCTGAAGCTTTGTGAAAAGCAATACAGCTTTTGAATAATGAAATGCATGAGCCTATACATTAACAAAATGTACATTCTTTGAAAATATTGTATATGCTTGAAATATGTAGCTCCATTTCAGTAGAAAAATACAACGCCAATGTAATGCAAAACCACTAGTTAAATATTTTCTCATTTAAAACATATTACAATCACTTTTCAAGATACTGCATTTAAGCACTTGAATACATACTAAGAGGTTTTCAGGAAAGTATTTATTGTTATAGCTTAAAAAATAAAGATACATCATAGCTAAATAAACTTGTATATACCATCATAAAACAGTTGATATATGTGCTGCTATAAAATTATTTTATGAAAAATAGATAAAAGAATAGTTATGCTTGTTTGTTATTTTTATTGTAAAATTATCATATAGCATAAGCTTTCATAACTAGCTTTCAACATTTCATTAGCTGTTTGTGATAAGTGAATCAATTCATTTTACAGTAATGCTGTTCCTTTTTCCTCTGGTTGGGTGAGAGTAAGGTGTAAGCTGCTATATATAATTGACATTAACTGAAATACATACAGATTGTTATTTGTTAAGAAAAAACACTAAGATAATCTTTTTGGCATCGTGTCCTGATCAGTAAAGTGTACTTAGTATCTTGAATTGGATCTGTGATTTTTGAAGTTTCAAATAATTCTGTAAACTATGACAAATGGTAGGAAATATTAGGAAGAAGAAATACATGAAAGGGTAGATGAAGAAAAGATTCAGTTGCATCTTCTATATTTTGACATTATCTCTGCATTAAGTCATATTGGACTTGCTTTGAATATTCCCTCTGGATTTCATTGATCAGAAAATGTTGAAGAACGTTGTAAATGAACATTATTAGTTTTGATAGTTTTAATATATCTGTGCTCTGACAGTGACAGTAAAAATACCTCTAGCTAAATCTGATATTTGGAGGTTATCGTTTGAAGCAAACATGCCATTTTATACCTAAAATGATTTACCAGCAGATACAAAACCATTGTCTATTTAAATGTAAATTTTCATTTAGTTTGGGGAAAAAAAGGCTTCCTTCAGTTGTGCTAATCCTGAAACAAAAATATTTTACAATTTTTATTAATTAAAATCTGTAGTTATTTAGGTATGGGGTACAATTTTTTAAAGAAAGTTGTACTCCTCCACTAACCTGAATCTTTTCAAATTCAGGTAACAAGCATGTTCATGGAAATGACTTATCAGCGTCTACAGGTACTTGCAATTTCTGATTGCCTACATTCCACTTATGTAGATAATGTACTTAAATTGGGAGGTTGGCAGTATTTTATTTTTATTTATTTTTATGGTTGAGTAAGTCAGGTATGTGTGAGTGGGAATTGGTGATCTTTTGAAGTACATTGTATTGCAGGAAACGTTTGCATGGAGGTTTTGGAATCCCAAATATTCTAATTTCTTTAAAATAACATAGTGTGAAATGTTAACAGCATAAAACAATTAGTACATAATACTGGCGTGGATTCTTGCAGTTATTTAAGTTATCTGAGTTTCATCTTAGCCATAATTTTGTGTGTATATATGTTAGAAATTGTGTTAGATGTATTCTACCCTCAACAACAAAATTCCAGATATTATTTGGTTTTACTTGAGACTGTCCACCAGAGATAACCAATTTCTATAGCTAAGGAAAGGTTTAGAACTTCAGCTGAAAATATATGCTTTCCATGAGAACTATGTTTTAATAAGATTGCTTTAAAAATAGTAACTGTGTGTTCATGCTGAAGGCTTTACCCATGAAATCTGCACATCGTAATAATAATAGCATCTAGGATAAGTATACCTGAATTTTACAGACGGAGAAGGGAACTGACTAGAGTGCTCTTGGCAGTTTGATTTCATTCATTTTTCTGCAAGTAGAAAGAATGTAGAGGTTTGGAAGGAAAAAAATCATTCTGGCTTTCTCCCTTAATTATAAATTAGCTACATCAGTATCAATGCATTATGAGTGAAGCCCTGATGCTTTGTTTACCACCTGTAATAATTGTTATCTACAATGATTTCCCATCTTATTTTATCTTAATCCATTTTAGCATAAAAATAGGAAACCTCTGTACATTTTAAGGCTGTGGAATTCTACAGAGAGGCTTTCAGTGGCTTGGAACAAGAAGAAAATTCAGGGAGATTATTTCATATCATTTCATAAGTGAATTTTTGTATGCTTTACTACTTTTAGTACTACTGCTATACACACATGTATTATCTAGGAAGGTGCCACTATTAGCATAGGAATGCCACTAAGTAGATGTTTAGCCTTATGTTATATTCCTCGGATGATAACTTTCTTTAAATAGAATGTTAAGATACTAAGGGTATTTTTTAATGGAAATATTTTCTTTATCTAAATTATGGCTATTGTATTTTGATGGGCACTTTAACTTAGCTGATTTTTAGTTTTACCATTACACGTTTATTTTGACTTCAGTTTTTCAGTAGAATGCAAGTGACCAAATTAAAAAAAAACAACAACACTGTGGGCACAATTAGAAAGTTATTATATGACCCTTTTCACATCATGGCAGGGGGTTATCTTTACTTTCAGCAGAGGCACTACTGTATTTCTTGTTTAAAGGCTGAGGGTCTTATATTAAGTACAAGTGGGCCTTGCTTAGCGATGGTAATTGGGACTGGCAACTTTGTTGCTAAGTGACGCGGTCATAAAGCATGACAACATGATTGTGCTGACTTACAATGACATTTGCAGCAGTCCCACTTGCTATCATTAGGCAAATCCTGCACAGTCACAGCATCCCGCGACCCCATGTTTGCCATTTGCAACCTTCTGCCAGCTTCCCCATTGACTTTGCTTGTTAGAAGCTGGCAGTGAAGGTTGTAAATGCCAATCACGTGACTGCAGGACACTGCAAATGATAACTGTGAGTCAGTTGCCAAGCGCCCAAATTGCTATCGTGACTGCAGGAACGCTGCAACAGCCCAACTACGAGGACCCATCGTAAGTCCCACTTGTTCAGTGCCATTATAACTTGAAACAGTTGCTGAACAAGTGGTCATTCAGTAAGGACTACCCATATCTTTTTAAAGATCTTTAATGATCTTTTTAATGAATAAGACGCGACTTACTCAACAAAAGTTTTTTTTATATTTACCAAGTATAAATGAGTTCTTAATATTTTACTCTTACCAGAGGAAAACACTCATTTGAACTAGATGTTAGCTGAAAAAGATGTTCTTCTTTGATTGCTGCAAAAAACACATATGAGATAATATTAGTTTCACTATATTTTTCTTGTAATTCTGTTAAAGAACAAAAAGATGTAAAACATTTCTGTAGTTAACTTGCTATGTCCATAAAAGTTTTTAATTATTGCTTTGGCTTTTTTCAGATATTAGTGCCTTGTAAATTCAAATTTAACTTACTTAAAAGCTTATTTAAAAATAAGTAAATCACCATTGTTAACAAATCAAACTCATGAAACATGTCTTTAAGTTTAAATTAGCATTGTTTGTTGATAGAAAATGTCACTCCAAGAAGAATAAAATTTCATCTTTAATTTCAAAGGCATGTTTCAAGATGTCTTTCTTTTGATAGTCATCAAGCCATGTATAATAAGAGATATTCATATTCATTTCTTTTTCTTTTCTCAAGTAATAATAATAATTCAGCAATTTGAAGTACAAATTATAGCATGTATAAACTTAAGATGGAATTCAGAAGGGAGGGCACAGTTTTTACAGGTGGTCCTCTGTAAATACTCAGTCTAGCACTACTGCTTGAATCTGCAAAATAAGCCCAGTTTGGCACCCTCCCACTGCTCATGTCCCATCACTGCTTGGTCCAACACATTTTTTCAGTCAATATTGCTTTGAATATTAAAATCATTGATCACATAAAAATGTCCTCAGCTGTTATCTTAAACAGAGATCTTGAATAAAGCCCTTGAAATCATATCTAGCAACACATGAAACTTGACAAGGTTTGCTACAGCAGTCATGTACTTTTAATGCAAAACAACAACAACAACATCCTTTATTAGTGTTTTCTCAGTATTTTCCACCATATTTTCAGTTCTATATTTCACTGAATTGTTGGATAAAGACGGTGAACCCAACTAATTTGTTTTCTTCCATAGACTCAGAATGTAGTAACATTCACTGTAGGAACTATTAACTTTTTGCCAATAGGAGGTGGATAACTTGTCTTCTCTATTGGTTGGAATGTTCATATGTAACCGGCACAAAGTTTTTATTAGAAGAATACATTAGAAAGTGCACTATTTTTTTAAGTAGAAAGTAATCCTTTGGGAGTTCTCAGTGAAAGATGAAAATGGGAAGGTACTTAATTTTTTTTTTTTTTTTAAGGAAACTTCCTAAGTAGTTAACCTCAAAAGATGTATGGGTGGTTCTCATTATCCATAATTTCTTGTATCTGTGGTTTGGGTTTTTTTACTTTCATGTACAAATTAGCAGTCAGGCTTTTGTATATCCATAAAGTTAATTCATTAAGGCTTAAGTGGCCAGATTACCAATGCTGTGGTTGGAAATTTCAAAACAATAGTCTCCTCTTTCCCCTCTGACCAGAGTGTTGGCAAGTTCACAACTCTTACACTCTGGTCAGAGGAGAAAGAGAATGATTATTTGTATATTTCCAAAGAAGTGGCATTTTTTTCACAAGAACTGGTACTGGATCATAGATCACACTTTAGGAAATACTGGTCTGTAGGTCAGTTTTGTGTGCATTCTGGCATAACAGCAGCTTCTATAGCTTGCATTGTTAGAAGTGACTTTATAACAACTGGAAGAAAGGCATATTAATTTGGAATTAATTCTGAACTTAATACAGTAAATTCTTAGGAGTGTATCTTCAGAGGCAAAATCAGAAAACTGGGCAAAATTCAGAATATTCTTTTCTATATTTTACGTAATCAGGTAAGAAATGTTGAGCTTTTGAATAATACATTGTTGTTACAGCTATTAATGTAACAGAACAATAAAGCCAATGCATTTTGTGTTCCATTTCCTCCCAGTAACTAATATATTTGACTAACACCTTACATTTATTTCACTGGCAGTTAAGCAAGAATAATTTAGGCTGCCTTTAACCCCTTGAAAGTAATGTAAGTAAGAGTGTTGTCCAAATAACCCATAACTTCTGCTTTTGAACTTTCAGTATGAGTCATATTTATATACGTAATCGAACTGAAACTATTTTTTCAATTCTTTTTCATGTATTCACTTCCCCATGATTGCATCAACATCTGTGCTGTGTGCACAAGGGCATTTAAATATTCATCAGTTTCTTTTCATTTTGTGCAGAAGACAGAAGAATCAGGCAATTGAAAAACAAGGCATATCTAATTGAAAACAGAAACATTGGCCCTACTATATAAAAGCAATATACATGGCACTGTTCAAATTCTTACTGTGTAACAACCGAAAGCTATAATATCAAAGTCTAAAAGATTTGTTTGGTTAGAAATCTTAGCAATGAAATAACAGTGTTACCATCTAGATGGTTGGGTTGTGGGTTTGAGTTTCCCAGTCAGTTTGTGATATACTAACTACAGAACCATATTGAATGTAAATGTTACAGTATAATCTAGTTTAATGTATTATACTTTTTGGGCATTCTTGTTTTTCTCTTCAAGTTTAAGATAATATAATTCTAAATTGCTTAGATGATATTTTCAAAGTGTAAACTTTCTCACTCTGATCAGTATTCAAACTTACTCTATTGGATTTGTTGTTTGTGGGTTTCAGTGCACAGCTAGCTACTTGGAGATACTAGCTCTTGCTTTTTATTTATGTATTTGTTCATTTGCTGTGTGCATGCCCCTCCTTTTTTCCATAGTGACTGGCAAAGTCACCAGAGAGCTTCCATGGCTGAGAGTGGCCTCTCCTCCATAGTTCATGAGTGTCCTCAAGGGAGGGCAAGGGGGCAAATGATATGTACATCACGATAGATGTTATTTTGATGACCTTTTTTTTTAGAGATGCTGCTGTCCTAGTCCAACACCTTATGTACTATACTATGATGGTTTTCAGTGTGTTGTTTTCATTGTAAGCAATCATGTTTATTAGCTGCAGGTCAGAAGAGTGGCAACAAAATATCCCTGCAAATCTGTGGTAGAAAATTGGAGTTCTGAATGTCAAAGCAACTCACTATATTTTCACGCCTCTCTTTTGAAAATAGTGGAGGCTAACAGTTGAGATTTTCTGTGCAGCAATAACCAACTAATATGGAATTGAGGGATGTAAAGTGTTTCATTTCCCCTCAACTAAATGAATTCAAATGGTAACTTTCTTACTTGATTACTAAGTTATCTGAACTTTGAAAAAGTCCCCATAAAAGCACTTTCATTAAATTGGCAAATAATGCTTTATTAAAAGCATAGATAATTACAATAATTATGTATTTTAGTGTTAATGATTCAGCAGAGTGAGATTCTGTCAGATGTTTGAACAATTTCAATGGAATACAGTAGAACAGGATGTCTGTTAAATCCAAAAATCGATTAATTTCAAATTTATCTCAATTACATTATGAAGGTAATTACGTAATAGACATATTTATGCCATTGACACAAGTGGTGTAAAATGTCAACTTTGCGAAAGACATAAATGAATAAATGGAGCTTATGGAAGCACAGATAGTTCTATTGCCAAAATTGGTTATAATCCTTCTAAAAACAAAACCTTTGAATTTGGCTTGGTACAGAACTGAGCATTTCAGTTTAATATTTGTGTTCTAGTGCGATGGTATGAGTGATGAAGTTCTGTATTGAAAGCTAGGCCTTAAATTGGGAAGTGTAAACCACAAATGTTTATTTCCACCTCACTTTTACAATAGAAAAATACTATTGTCTGTCTTGAATAATTACTGCATGGATTACAAGTGATATATATGTGAAGAATTTGATAAAATATAATGTAATAGAATAAATATTTATGTATTAAACAGTGCATAGATGTTTACTCTTACAATATATATATTCTTAACTGTAAAGTGCTTTGTAAGTAATGGATAGAATATCATCCTAGTATCTTCTCAGAGACATAGAATAAATTTACTAACCATTCCCTTTGCTCTCTGATCCACTGTTAAACATGAAACTTGGCATCTGTTCACCAAGCTTGGCAATCTGTTCATACAGTATAAACGTGAGGTCTGATAAATGAATACTTAACTGAAATTATATCTAGTAGAAACAAGATGAAAAATAAGCCTTCTCCAATTTGCTGTCCTCCAAATATACTGAACTACAAATTCCACAATTCTAACTAGATGCGATGGAATTATGAAGGCCAGGCTCAGGGAGATAAGCATTTTCTTGGCTCGCCTCATGAGTGTGGGAACTACAAGAGGATGAGACTGGGACCTCCCTGAAGAATTCACACTGTTGTGGCTGGCTGACTTGGGACCTGGGGTTTCAGTCTGG